ATTATTTTTTTGCTTGCCTTTTTAAGAAATCACTAAAGTATTAAGTATTCATTTTAAAATTTACACTTAACATTAATAAGTAAGAAAGAAGATCAATAAAATAATAGTAATATTTTAATTATTTTAATGAAGGATAATTAAGTTAAATGGAACTGTTTTACTTATCCTCAGGATTATTTGATAAATTTTTTAGTTTTACTTAATAACCTTAAAACATATAAAAATAATATATAGAGGATTTATTATCTTAAATGTATCCTATTAATTATTTGCAGTATATAGTAAATAATAAGTGAAAAGCAAAAGTATTTAAAGTATTGCAAATTTAAAATATATTAGAAACATTTTTATTTAAGTAACTAGGAAAATCAATTAGGAAAAAATCATACTGATAAATATATTAAATAATTTTTTATTTTACTTTACGCTAATTCTATATATCTTTTTTATAAACCTTCCTAATAATTACTTCAAGAGTTTAAGTGTTTTTTAATAGGTTACCAAAACACCCATCAATGTATTTATTTAATTTTATTTTAATATTCATTATATTATTACCAACTCTTAAGCTTTGTTTGGAAGTTTGGAGGGGAGGGATCCAAGGGGGAGGGAGGGGATAGAAGTGAAGGAATTTGGAGGGTATCTCCTTCCCTTGTTTGAGAGTTAAAAAAATGGTAAGGAAGAAAATGGAGGGTTAATGATATATTTTGACCATTTTAGCCTTTTTTTTAAATTAATATAATTATTATATTTTACAAATTAAATTAAATTTAAAATTTCTAAAAAAATTATTTATGTACTTTTCACAATACTAAAAAAGATTTTATTTTTGATGAAATTTCTATGTTGCAAACGACGAAAAATTTCGTCACAAAATTATTTTTTTCGTAGGAATACTTTTCATCGAAAGACGATGAAATTTTTACAAAAATAAATTTTCTGTCAAAATTTTCAACGAAATTTAGTTTTCGTCAAAAGTTTTGAGAAAAATGATTTCCTCCATCAAATGTTTTAAACGAAAAAAGAATTCCGTAAAAAATTTGACGAAATGTTTTCCGTTCAAAATTTTGACGAAATGTTTTCCTCCATCAAAATGTGTTCTCAAAAAAATTGTTTTGTCAAAATTTTTGAGGGAAATGTTTTATTCGAAAATTTTGACGAAATTTAGATTCTGTAAAGAATTTTGACAGAATATTTTTTTCGTAAATTTTTTAACAATATATTTTTCGTCAAACATTTTTACGAAAATATTTTTTGTCAAAATTTTTTGACATAAATGTGTTCAGTTGAAAATTTTGATGAAAATGTTTTTTATCAAAAAGCTTGGCGGAAATACTTTTCGTCGAAAATTTTCGACGGAAATTTTTTTTGTCAAAAAATTTAACGAAAATGTTTCCGTCGAAAACTTTTGACAAAATTTGAATTCTGTAAATAATTTTGATGAAATTTTTTTCGTAACAAATTTTCGATGAAAATGTGTTTCGTTGAAAATATTTTTTGTCAAAAATTTCGACGAATATATTTTTTTGTGAAATATTTTAACAAAATTTAGACTCCGTAAAAAAGTTTGACAAAGAAAAAATTTCGTCAAATTTTTTTATAGAAATATTTTTAGTCACAAATTTTGATGGAAATATTTTTCACCGAAAAATTTTGCGAAAAATCTTGATGAAAATGTTTTCCGTATAAAATTTGGACGTAATTGTTTTACGTCGAAACTTTTTGATGGAAATGTGTTTCGTCAAAATTTTGGACAAAAATATTTTCGTTGAAAGTTTCAACAGAATTTAGATGCTATCAATAATTTTGAATAATTTTTTTCCGTAAAAAATTTATTTCAATGGTTATGGTAAAATTTGGTTTCGTCTTTAGTTTTGACGTATATGATTTTCATCAAAAAATGTATCACTATTTTTGACGGAATGTTTTTCGTTGATAAATTATGTCGGTATTTGAGACTTTTGTAATAACGTCACATCTAAAAATGATTTCAAATTAATGTAGTTTTCACATTTTAATACTAAGGGTAAATAAATAATTTTAAATATTTTCCCTCTTAAACCCCTCAAATTGGGAGAACTTTAATTTTAAGAAGATTGAGGGATTTGGAGGATTTAGTAAAAATTCTCAATTCTTTCCCCTCCTTTTTTTAAACTCACAAACAAGAGAAGGACTTACTAAAACCATCTCTTTCATTTCCTTCCCCTCCTAAAACTAACTCCCAAACAAAGCCTTAGGGTATTCCTTAATAAATGTTTTTAATTACACAAAGAAGTGAGTCTTAATTGTGTTTTGTTTTCCATTCTGGAAAAATTAATCTTGAATATAAAAACACATTTATATGTGTGTATGGAAGAAAAGGTTCCTGTGTTATTTTTTTTACATTTATATTAATTTGGATTCTATTTTACATGGTGTCCTGTATTTCAAAATATGAAATTGGGAAATAGATTCTTTCATTAAAAAAAATATGACATGATCATGTGGGAAGATCACACTCATACAAAGATGAATCAATGGTTATGATTTTGTAATTACTTATTTCAATATTTTGTTTCTCTTTTCCTTTATTACCATTAATCCATCTTTGTTATGTTATGATCAATGTTGTTAAAATCGAGATTTTAAGTAAAATCATAGGAAGATTAAAAATCGTAAAACATAAAATCATAATGTAAAAAAACAGTAAAAGATCGTAAAAACGTAAAAGCGTTTGAAATATTGGTAAAATCATTTTGATGAAAAAAATTGTAAAATAGTAAAATTATACCGATAAATTGAGATTTTAACAACTATGATTATGATTCTCCACGTGACCATGCCATATTTTTTTTCAACATTAAGGAATCTAGATCCATGAAATTGCTATTTATTATGTATCGTATCAAGTCCAACCGGGACATGTGTAGAAATGAAAATTTCCTCTTGTTCCTGAACTTATTCTCTTCTTATTCCATGCAATTTTATTATGGGTTAATATTTTCTTATGTTATATAAGAAGATACTCTTCTCTTACATACACAATAAATATGTGGGTCTCATTAAAAGGAGAAAAGAAAAGAAAAATTCAATGGGACCCATATATTTATTGTGTGTGTAAGAGAAGAATATCATGTAGTGATAAAATATTAACTCTTCTCTTATTTGCACCAAACGTAACATAAATCTACTATTTTTTTTTTTTAAAAAAAACAAATGCTATGGAGTAAAACTCACACAGTTTAAACTATAAAAAAAAAAAAAAAAAACTCAGAGTTTCTAACTAAACAACACACACGCACACCAGGGGCAATAATAGATTAAGTGCTCAAACCTTTTCTATTCATCATAGGCATTTTCTTTTTAAATTCGGCCAGGCTTTTTTTTTATAAAAATATAAAAGCTCAGCATAGTTTGAGAGCCTATTTAAATATCCACATTACATTAAAGTCTTTAAATAGATAAAAAAAATGTAATCTTTTTAGTGTTAAAACAATTTTAACTTTTAATAAAATTATTATAACCTAATAAATTATGTAAGTAATTTATAAGCTTTCAAATATATATTTTAAATAAATAAAAGATACTAAAAAGCTATTGTAAAGAAATCAATATGAAAAAAGTTTAAATACTATTAGCTAAAAATACAACAAAAGTCATTATGGTCAACTTGTAGTAAGAGGTACGCACATATAGTTTGTTAGAGGACATATTAAGGCACCACCACTAGAACAAATTAGTTTTTTTAGAGTATATACAATTACTTTTAATAAAAGACAATACTTGCTACTGCATTTCATAATTTTGATTGCTAAAATATATTTGAAAAGCATTTCTCTGAGATGAAGCCAAACCTTTGAAAGAACACGAAAGATAAATTCTCAAAACCAAACATATGATTGTGACTATTGTAATAAAAACATTCAATATTAACATTAAAAAAAATGGAGTCCCTTGGGAAGCAATGGAGCCAAAAGTTAATTTTTTGTTTTTAAATCTTTGTTGATTTGATTCTAGCTGGATGCAATATGGGCAAATAGAAAGCTTGCGTTCATTCCTCATTCCAGAGGACAGTCCAAAGGCCAATATGGGCCTACTGAATAACTGAAGTCCATATCCATTGGCCACTCTACTCCTTCTCCATTTCTCCTTGACCACAACAACATTTGACACAGCAGCACTTTTTTTATTTTGCCCTGAACCAATTGTTTAAAAAAAAAAAAAAGTGGTAATTAGTAATTATGAGCACCTTCATTTATCTTAAAAAAATATTTTTTTCAATGAGAAAAAAAGCAAGAAAGCAATTTGCATAATAATAATGATGATATTTCATATAATATAAATAAATAATAGACAAGGGAAAATGAAAATATCCAATATAATTTTAAAGTGATTTGTTTTTAGAAAAATGTTATAGTTACTATCTTTTTTTTTTACTATCTATTATTATCAAATCTTAACCGTCAATCTAATGGTTATAATTTATTGGGTCACACTTATTAATTAATTATTAATTCTAATAAATTATAACCTTTAAATTGACAGAAATCAATGGTTAAGATTTGGTAGTAACAAATAGTAAAAAAAAAAGATAATAACTATAACCTCTTCCTTTTTTATTATATTAAAATTTCACGTAATCTGTTAATGTAAAAATTCTGTGTCTATATTTTTTTTTGGAGAGGTTATAGTTACTACCTTTTTTTCTTACTACTTGTTACTACTGAATCTTAACTGTTGATTTCCGTCGATCTAGCGGTTATAATTTATTAGAATTAATAATTAATTAATAAGTGTGACCTAATAAATTATAACCATTAGATTGACAGAAATTAACGGTTAAGATTTGGTAATAACAAATAATAATAAAAAAGTAGTAAATATAACATTTTCTTTTTTTTAACATTAAATATATAAAATCCAATTAAAAGCTATTAAAAATATAAATACAAATTTTTCACAATTTTTTTCTCTTTAACGAAAGTATTGAAAACACAGGACAAGACAAGAAAGAAACAACATTGTGTGAGTTTGTGGGTTGCCTTGCTTTGCTTCGCTGTCGTTTCGCCGGCCAACGACCAAAGACAAAAGAATTGTTACCGTTTTGGTATCTGATTTCGACATTACTCTTTGCTCTCTCTCTCTCTCTCTTTCTCTCTCTCTCTCGCTGCCTGTGTTTGATTTGATCCTTCAAGATGAACGACCTCCTCAGTGTAAGTTGATATCTGTAACTCCCTATTTTGATGCCAAAATTGAATTTTGATCACTGGGTTTTTTTAGCTCTGTTGCTAAAGTTTTTGTTATTGGATTCAAAGTTTCTGCTATCTCATTCTCAGATTTGATACCCTCTTTATGTTATGACTTGGGATGATGTAGACTTTTTTTCTTTTTTCTTTTTTTTTAAAAAAAAAAAGTTTTAGATCAATGCTAAGAGAGGTGAAATTTTTAGCCTGGAATTCTAGAATATGAATGTGGAATCGCTGAATAGCTAATGGTAGTGGAAATTTTTCTATAGACGGTTTATTGCTTTAATTCAGATTATAGTTAATCCCCATATTTAGTTTTCAAGTGATTATGTTCTCTGCTATGCTTAGTCATGTTTCCTAGTCTAATATGATCGTCTGATTTGTATCCCCCTAAAGAAGGAAGACATATGCGATTGACTTGATTTTTGGCTGTTTGGATTTATTCTGATAGTGATTTTTATTTTTATTTTTTATAACTGTTAATTTCACTTAGATTAAGTTAAGTATCGTGTTGTTGTCTTTTAAGATCAAAGTCCAAGGGTTTTTTTTTTTTTAATCTTTTACTCTCTTTTTTCTTGCAGGATTCATTTGTTAGTGAGGCCAATAATGGTCAGCCTTCTAGACAAAGTGATATTGAAATGGGAATGCATGTTCCGAGAAGCAACTCTGATATGGGAATGGAAACTTTTAATAAGCAGGTGTACACAGTGTGCATGCTATTTGGTCTTTTGATGGTTCAAAATGTTGATTTGGCCTTAGGCATTTTATAGTTTGTGATTGCGTATATATTTGTTGGATTATATTTTACAATAGGACGAAAATCTATTGTTAGTCTAAGGGGATTATAAAACTGATGATTTTTTCTGTTTCTATAATCAACTTTTCCTTCAAGCTGTTTCTTCAATATTTAAGTTGAATATCCAACGTTTACAAATATTCTTTATCTTCTTATTAGATCCAAGAGGCTGATAAACAAATTGATAAGCTGTCTGGGCTACTTCAAAAGCTAAAGGTATCCATTATCTTCACCATTTATCATTTTTTGGCAGCAAGGTCTCATTTGTAACTGTTTCTAAGTGTACTTTTGCAGGAAGCTAATGAGGAATCAAAATCTGTTACGAAGGCATCTGCCATGAAATGTATGTAGCAATTCAATGTTTGATATTTTTTAGTTGAAAGCCTTTGTTTCAAATTGAGTAATAACTTCATAAGATTTTGCTGGTATCAGTGATGACTCGGTGTGTCTAGCAGTTATAGCCAAGCCAAACACATGACAATTACCTTGCTGGCAACTCTAACGAGTTTTATATATACATATACATATATGTGTGTGTGTGTGTGCCTTTTTGTTTTGACACAAATTTAATGCTCTTTATAAGACTAATAGACCTGTAACATCAATTTCAGCTATTAAGAAGAGGATGGAGAAAGATATTGATGAAGTTGGAAAGATAGCACATGGAGTCAAATCAAAAATAGAAGCTATAAACAAAGATGTACTTAGATACTGGCTGAATATTGTTTTAGCAGATGTCAGTTTGTTGTGAAATTTCAAACATGAGAATTATTTTATTTTGTGCAGAACCTAACCAATAGACAAAAGCCTGGCTGTGAGAAGGGGACAGGTATAGATAGAGCAAGGATGAATATGACAAAGTAAGTTGGCTATATATATCTTTATTTTATATTTTATAAAACAAACAGGAAACCTGAAATATCTACTTTTCCTTGCAACTGCAGTTCCTTGACTAAAAAGTTCAAGGATCTCATGATAGAGTTTCAGGTATGTTTAGTTTTTAAACACCAAACACCAGAAGCTGTCTTTCCAAGTTTGAGTCTATCTCTCATCAATGCTTTATATTGTAGACTCTTAGACAAAGAATACAAGATGAATATCGTGAGGTTGTGGAGAGAAGAGTTATTACAGGTTTGAACATTTCAGCCTCTTGATGGAATTAACTGTGTTGCACTATGGTTGTACTATAGTTTTTTCTATTAAATGTGTTTTATACTTATTAGAAAGTATTATTTCATTATGTTCTAATGTTTTTCACTGTGATTGATTGATTTGATTGTATAGTCACGGGAACTAGGCCAGATGATGAGGTGAGCTTGACTCATGAATTTGTGACTTGATATGAGCTATCCACTACATATATATTTTGTTTTAATTGGATGTTTAATGACTGTGTTAGACAATTGATCACCTGATAGAAACTGGAAACAGTGAGCAAATCTTTCAGAAGGCGATTCTAGAAGCAGGCCGAGGACAGGTACTTAGTTTATGATTTTTATTTTTAACTTATTTTTTAATTTGGAAAATTAACAAGGCATTATGCCAAACAGAATAACTATCTAATCATGTAATTTATCTCATGAACAAGAAAATGAGATATTTTGTTTTTTATGGAGAGAAAAGAGAGAAAGGGGGGAGGAGTATCTTATGCCTTTTTCGGAAAAGGGGGGTTTAGTCAAATATTTCATCATTATTTGATATATTTTGTTTTTTCGCTTTACTCTAAAACAGAATAACTGTATCTAATCAAGTAATTTATCTCATGAACAAGAAAATGAGATATTTTGTTTTTTATGGACAGAAAGAGGGGGGGTTGGGGAGTATCTTATGCCTTTTTCACGATTTGTTATGCTCGGATTGATGGAAAGGGATGAAATGGAATGACATTAGTTGCCATTGTTTGGATTATTTAAAATAGGGTGGAATGGAATGGAATCTGCTGGAATCTATTCCATCCCATTCTATACAATAATACCTCTATTTTTCTTCTCCCTCAATTTGGGTGTACGGGAGGGAACCAATTTAATAAAGTTATAACTCCTACCATTTGGTCCACTCCCCAAACAATGGAATGGAAACTTTACTCCTTTCCATCATAAAATATCCAAACAGTTTGACAATTTTATTCCATCTCATTCTACCCATCATTAGATATCCAAACATAGTTAGGAGGCAGAATGAAAGCTATAATGCTGGATTAGAAGTTTGTCCATAATTGTTTTATTTTTGAAACACATCTACAAGTATAAATGTAGTTATGATCTGTCATTTGCGCTTGTGTAGAGAATTAACATTTTCTTCATGTAAAAGTTTAATTCAGGAAATCTGGTTTGTTGCAGGTCGTAAACACCGTAGAAGAAATTCAAGAGAGACATGATGCTGTGAAAGAAATTGAGAAAAAACTTCTTGATTTACATCAGGTTTACTTGCCTGAAGATCTTAGTCTTAAAGATTTAATTTAGTTGATAATGATAATGATAATAACAATAATAATATGTCTAATGCTATTTTATTATTTCTTAGATATACCTCGACATGGCAGTCTTAGTTGATGCTCAAGGAGAAATTTTAGATAACATTGAAAGCCAGGTTTGTTCGAACTCACACACCCTTGATTTTCTGTTTGTATGTTTGTATGGAGAATGAAGGGTATATTTAGTTCAATTTGAGTTAATGAGAGGCTTGTTCAGGTCAACAATGCAGTCGATCATGTCCAGAGAGGGACAACTGCACTTCAAAATGCTAAGAAACTCCAGAAGAACTCTCGAAAATGGATGTGCATTGCCATCATTATACTGTTGATAATAGTAGCTATCATAGTTGTTGGTGTTATCCAACCTTGGAAGAGTAACAAGGGTGCTTGAGTCTGGCCCTTTGTCCCTTGTCCATATATACAATAGTTGAGTTGGTTCTGAAAGCATTTGCATGTGTCAGCGGGACATCTTAGAGCAGGATTTTCATGTTTTTTTATTTTGTATGATGCTTGATTTGTGTGGTGTGATTGATTTCTGACTATACTATATACTTTGGTGTGTCTCACTATATGAAATTCATATTCTTTGTAGCCTTCAAAGTTTATCAGTCTCTTATTCCCTTGTTCCATTCTAAAGCTATCTTGGATTACTGTTTTTCTTGGAAAGAAAGTACTCTCTTTCTCTCATTCTCTGTCTCTTTCTCTCGTCCTCTTTTTTATGTTTCTAATTTACTTTTTTAGGCCTAGGCTGTGTTGGCCATTGGGCCAAAACACCCTTAGCGATTAGCCATTTATCACTCACCGGTTCGAATAAATCTTTGGTATTACTACTGTACCAAAGATTCAGTGCATTCTACCAATGAAAATATTACATGTCAGTTAATTTTTTATATTTTTTTGTCAAATTTTCTCTCTCTCACTAGTTCTCATGTTTGTCAGCCAGTTAAGGAATAAATCTTTGGTGCTACTGTTGCATTAAGATTCAGTGCATCTCACCAATGAGAGCATTACACATCATAGAAGAGAGAAAAAATTTGTCAGAGAAAATAAAATTTTAGCTGACATGTAATATTTTTATTGGTGGGATGTACTGAATCTTTGGTACTACAGTAGCACCAAAGATTTGTTCGCAGTTAAGGTATTTATTGGTCGATAGTTTACTTTAAGATAAGGTTGTCCAAATGGCACATAAATATTTTCTGATGCAAAAATAGAAATATTTTTTCCTTATATAATTTCATATATTTTTGCGCTGCCATCTTCATATCACTCTCTCAAAATATTATTATTTATTATTATTATTATTAGGGTATTTATTATTATTGTATTGACAGGTACTTATAGGCACTGACGTGCCCATCAATCTACATATATATTTTTTTTGGAAAGAAAATTTATCTATTATAATGCTTAGCTCTTGAACTCTTGATTAATTATCTAATGTGTTATTTTCAATTATTTAAAGAATTAATCACTTGCAAAGATTGATAATATGACTATTTTATCCCTTTTAGTTATTTTTGAATAATTTATATTTTGACATTTTGAGAATAACCAAAAGAAGAGGAATCTCATATCAATATCCAACATTAACAACACATTTATCTCAAATTTGTTGAGATTGATAAGAGTAATCTCATATAATATTTATATATTAGAATAAGTTAGAAAGACCTTTTATCTTGCATAGCGAGAGAGGAAGAATGAACAAACAATACGGAAGAAGACATGGGTTGCATGATAGTGTAAAGACGTTGAAGTTTAAGTAGAGTAAATCCAACCTTCTGCCTTATGCTTTGGTTGAAGGCACGTCAGCATGAATAGGTTAAAATCCACTATATATTTAGACAATAAAAAACCCTAATATGTTACCATTTTTAATTTTGATATGTTTTGTATCCATCCCTGCCTAGATTCACTCTAAGGGAGTGTTTGGTAGGGAAGTTTTGATTTGTTGCCTAAGAAAGTACACATGGAATTCAAAGAAAGTTGCATTTAGTAAGGGTTTTGAAAATATTTGTCGACGGTTCTAATTTGCATGAAAAAGTGACATTGTGTGTAAAATTGAGAGCAAATCACCACATGAGAATACCACTCATATGGTGGTATTCTGATTTGCATGGAAAAGCTACATTTGCTTCTTCTTCTTTTTCAGCTTTATAGAGAGTTTAACAGTAATTACTCTTTAGGCAAGTGTTATTTTCATAATTTCACCCCATTTTTTCAGCAATTGACCTTCAACCAAATATAGATTCAGGAAACTTAAACCAATTTTTTCGATAATATTTTGACCTACCAAACAATTTTTTTTTAATTTTCCTAGAAAATTCATTTTTCCACAGTAATTGTAATTTTCTGGTAAAAAAAATCTTTTCCTCTACCAAATGCCTCAAAAATACACTAACCAAAATATCACATTGGTACCTATATGTATATATCGGTTCTTTTTTTTTTTATCAATTCCCATAAAAGAAATTAAAAAGTTAAATAAGCTTAAGTTGTTAAATCAAAAGGAACAACATTGAATGTGCGCCATTTGATTATTCTATCATTCTTTTGAAGTGGGGGCATTTCACACACTCACTCTATGCATCTTATTTTGTTGTTGTTTTATTTTCATTCTTCTATAGGCTTCACACAATCACTTGTTCACTTTATATGTACCTTATTTAGCTATATCATTGCTTTATTTTCATTTTTTTTATAACATAAGCTTTGTGGAGTTACTTTATTTATTTATTTTTTTGTTATGCTGATCCTAAGTATTTCTTTGAGTGAATCAGCCTCTCGAGCATCTCCACAAGATTTAATTCTTTGAGCCAACTATGAGATTAATCACTAGTCGGCACTTAATTACTTTATTCATTTATTTATTTCAATCATGACTTATAATTAAGTTATTTTATTAATTTCTAGTTCCTAGTTAAATCATTACATTATGCACAATACATCATTTATATGATATAATTCAAGTTATTTTTTAGTATATCTTTGAATCATATGATTTGATACAATTTATGATTCAGAAAATAACTAAGCTATTCATGATTTGAATTGTGATTCAATAACTAAGCTACTCTCATGTCCTCCATTATTCCTGGTCAAATAGGATAATGATCATATCACATTAGATATGAAAAGTATGAATAGTTTACATAAATAGTAAAAAAATAATATCTACATTGTTATTCTATCGCTTGAGAGAACTGAGTAGTAAGGATCAATCCCCTTATCTTGTCAACTTATGACCAACTTCCTTTTACTTGTTTTTGAGAATTTTTCCTCCCATTAGTGTATGCAAATTGTGCACAAAATGCTAATGTTACTACCATTGAGTCTGAATGAAATGTTAAAATTTCACAGATCATCTAGAACTTTTGTATAGATTATGTGGAATTTTTATATTTATCTCTCTTATAGGCTCTTAAAAGGAGGGACTTTATCAAATTTTATAGATATATCTAAACATAAGATTTGATTATTCTTTCACCAGTATAAGAATAAAAAAATTTATATCAAATCTTAATCATTAATTTGCTTACATCTAACAACTCACATATCTAATAAATCACAACCGTTAGATATAAATAGAATCTAACAGCAAAAATTTAGAGCATAACTTATACAAATGTAAAATGATCTTAACCCTAAAGATATAGATATAAAAATTACACAAGGTCATGTAAAATTTAACACCGGATGATATTTGGATTTGAATATTTTAGGAGGAAATAACCACTTCTGAATTGTTGAGTACAAAATATGTTAAGTTCACCAAAACTTAAAAAAAAAAAATTCATCAAACTTAGATATAGTCATATAAACTATGGGTTTGATGTTTCTCACGTTGTAAGAAATAAAATTATATCCTACACACACATAAAAATATATAAGATCCATATGAAGTCATATAAAGAGAAGATAAAAAAAAATATGAATCTCACACTTTTATATGTGTTATCTCCTACAACAAGAAAGACATTAAACCCATAAACTATTTATATTTGTGGAAATAAATTGTGGTGAGTCGCATTACTAGTTTGATTAAGCTGTTTGGGCCAGATCACTTGGTACTTGTCTCAATTGCAAAAATAATTGTTCAATTACCATGTAAGCCTTTACTATTCATACCACTAATTATTTTATGCCTTTTCGAAATGGCATTATGTAATGAGCAGGTGACAAACGCAACTGATCATGTGAGATCGGGTAACGACGCTCTCCAAACTGCAAAGAGTTTGCAAAAGAAGTCAAGGAAGTGCATGATGATTTCCATTATATTGCTGCTAGCCATTGCCATCATTATCGTACTAGCTGTTTTAAAACCATGGAAGAAGTGAGCTGAAGAGTAAAGTGGTTTACATATAAAAAATGAAGGGAAATGATTTTCTTATGTTGTAGGAAAATAGTTTTCTTATGTTGTAGAAACAAGATTGCAAATAGGACCCATAAGTAAGAAAGAGAAAAAAAAAAAAAAAAGTGAGACTCACCAAACTTTTGTTTCTGTTGAAAATTTAGTTATCTCATGTAAAATGAGATAAATATAACTCAAAAATGAAATCTCAATATTTCACATATAATTTATATTCCAAGTGCATGAGAACTTACAGTTGTTACAGTGGCGTGATTTGATTATAGTACTTTACCTTTTGTCAAAATGGCCTTCTGTTAATATTTGCACAGCTAATGCATAATAAGATGTGATTTATATTTTTTCCCTCTCTGAATAATGAAAGGGAACATGCAATTTTGCAATGCATGGCTATCATACACTTGCAAGCTTTTATCCATGGCCATTTTTTCAGGAATAATGCTTACTAAGTACTAGCACATTTCCATACTCATTACTTTGATTAATCTAACTATCAAACTTATTTAACCAACAATCTACCTATACTTAACCACCAATCTAATAGGTATTGTGGCAGGAATCATCATTAACTACTGTTAGTTAAGTGGTTGAGTTTATGTAGATTACTGGCTATATAAGTTTGATGGTTGGTTAGTTAAAATGTCGTGAGGTAATGTGTATGAGAGTGTTTATGAGTAGTATTATTCTTCTCTTGGTGCAAGTAAATGATTGATATGATTTCAGGAAAACTAAAGCAGGGGTAATGCATTCAAAAGTTGGGTATGCATACAACGGAGGTAAGCTTGAATTCTGTCAAATATTTATTGAATAAACACAAATGGTTGAGAATGATCAGAAGAAACCTTGATAGGGTAACTAGATGCCAAAAGTTCATAGAGAAATGATGGTACAAGTACAACAACTTACAAGTTGGAGGAAGAAATCTTAAGGCCATTATTTGCTGTTAGAAACACTTGAGCTCAGAAGCAGAGTTTTTTTATTTTTTTGGCATAGTCTCCCATAATCCCATTGTGAATTGAGGTAACTAATGTCAGAGATAGAATAGCCTTTTATCCAATCCTACGCTAATTTCATAGGCTTGAACACAAGCTTACTTTGAGACAAGGCCAGAGCCAGAACTACAGAAAATAATCCCCTATTTTCATACTGGCTGTTTCTTGTGTAGTGGCTGGCTATAGCTAACACTCACTCGACAACTTCCCACGGACATCTAGTTTATTGTTATTGAAAGATG